ACCTGAAAGCTAGAATAAGTTATGTGGGTTTGACATGGCAACCGAAACTACACTATAAATTACAACTGTCCTTTTTTTACTTGACATAAGATGATTTTTAAAATGGTTTATTAATGATATGGGAAGATTTAGTGTAGAGGAGTTTGAATCTACTGATTTTTTAAAATATTCACTGTTCATAAATATTTGTACCTTTTTGATGATGGTTGTGGTAGTTCTCGAAGTTTCAGCTCCCTCCATACAGCAGAAATGTCTTAACGTTCGTCTTAAAGATTCTGACCATGATATTGGTTTACAGTTGTTTTGAGTTCCATATGTTCTTCAGCCGTAAAAATGCTATTGTTGCTTTACCGATCCTCGCCTTTACGTCCTCATCCGACCTTCCTTTTTCATCGAAGATGCTTGCCAGGTACGTGAAAGATTCCACATCTTCCAGAGTTTCTCCACCAAGTATGATTGGCTTAGTGTTCTCCGTGTTGTATTTGAGGATTTCGCTTTTTCCTTTGTGTATGTTAAGGTCCACTGATGCATGTAAAAATATAATATGTAGTAAATATGCTGATTAATTACATCAAATTTACCAAATTATTATTCTCAATAGTATTTGTAATTTACTGAAACCAAATTAGACATGTAATGTGGCTTCAGCTTCCCGAGTAATATAGACGGGTGTTTTTTCCGGGTTAGAAAAAGTAAAAAACTACTTATTTTGAACTTTTATGTATTTGTTCTTGATGAACTGATATCACTTAAAATGAGATTGAAAAGCATATAGCAGTCAGTAATTGATTTGTCCAAGTTTAAAATAATAAGAATCTCTACAAAAATAAATGATGACATGGAAATCAGTCGCTTGCTAGTGTTTACCTCTGGGATGAACTTTTCGATGTTCTAGTCAAAGCCATGAATTAAAATCTACCAATTCGGTTATCTATCGTTAATACCGATATCATAAAAAGCTGACTCTAATTGAACATTTGAACTAGTGATTTAGTAGTCTAAAGGTACTATGCGCATCTGCACAGTTTCAAGATAGTGCTCAACAGCTAATCAATGTTTTTTTGCTTGGTGTGTACTACAACTGGCTTGAATATCAAACGTTATATTTTCCTCATAATATTAAGAATGGTTAGTACAAACTCAATTTCATTTACTGCCTTTAACTATTCTACATTTATATCATTATCTATTTCAACTGATACTATCCTGTCATTATGTGAAACTTTTATTTATTATTCTTTCTTTTGCTAAACAATCAATACAGTTGATTTCCGTTGTTAATATCTGAATAGCATTTATGTTATTCTTCTACTGTTATTATTCCTTCTATACTAGAATTTTTAAAGTGTAGAATAGATAAATCTTCACCAAAGTAAAATTCAAAATTTCTCATTTATCATTTGAGATATAGATTTTGTATTCAACTTGGAAATATCTGAATTATCTCTACTTACTGAAACATATAAGCCAAAGTAATCTAGTTCAAGTATTATTCTTTAGTGAATAAATCATTTTAGATTATTTATAAATTCAATTGAATCTGTCAGCTTAGCTTATTTCACAAACTTATCATCATGTGTATAGTCATAAGTTGTTCATTTGATTATTGATAAAGTGACAAATACAACTTTTTTATAATTTCTCTTAAGAATTGCAAGTTATAATTCTTGATTAAAAGAGTGTTTTCCTAATTTCAAATGAAATGCACCATGTAAAATTTTGATTTCGGCTTTACAGTCAATTACTTAATCATCTCAGTTAGTAAAATAAAAGAGATATTGAATAATAGTAAAAAGACATAAGAATCAACTTGAAAGTTTGTTAGCAGATCAAAGGAAAAACTTATTGAATAAACGATTATCTGTAATGTACTGTTTTCTAGCCTGAAGAAAATATGGCTAATGATTTTACTGATCAAAAATCTCTCTTCCTAATACTTAGTTTACTTTGAATAAAGATGGTAGTGTGCTGGTCGGTATTCGATATAATCCTTAAACTGCGTATACACTTCGTCTTGATAACCGTCCTATATAATGGCCCAACGGTATATTAATCAGAAGGCGAATACGAAGCGTTGATTACATTTATTACGGGACCACACACATATATCCAAAATTACAAATACGTTAAACAAGAATAGAAGAATTGTGCCGAAAAGCAAGCAAGCGACCGAGAGAGTCAGCGAATATGAATACGAGTACGCGAGTACAATTAAGCGAGCGAGAGCGAATGCGAGAGCAATGAATATGAATAACATGGACATATATATACATAGTGAAATGAATGAGTCATCAAATCAAATAAGTGGTTAGTAGTAAGGTTAGCATAGTGAATAAATGCGAGGGCCGTAAGCAATATTCAGGCATACGTGTCCATACATTCGTAAGAGTAATAAAGATACAATGATATAGATAAGTTGTTGTTAGGATGAATCAGTTCGTTAATAAGTTAATAAAATGACTTTATTGAATTAATTGTGAACAAACTCAACTTCACGTGATCTGTTATAGTAGATTAATTAAATAACTATAATGGATACCTGTAATATTTATTTTAGTGATACAATAACATCAGATAATCTATTTTCCGGGTTATCAAACGTTACAATTATTTTCAGTTTGTAAGCAAAGATGGATAGTGGCCAACAGTGGAATCTAGGACGTGCATCTCCTTCAGCTAGATATACCTATATCTCAGATTCGATGCCTACCCTGGGACTCGAACGCAGTACCATTCGCTTCAAACGCCATTCCGTTATCCACTTAGTTATTGAATCCTGATAGTTACTTGCTTGTGCAATGGGGTGTAGTTTAAATTCACTTGGTATCGTTTACTTGAATCTTCCCATTGATGCTTAGGATTGCAACTGATCAGTCTCTTATTAGCATATGTGCATACTGTGCGGATTGCCTTGATATTGCCTTAATTCACAAGCATTATAAGCAAACATGGATTAACGCAATATCGAGAAAATTCGCACAAGTGAAAATTAATAACCAATAAGTCAAAAATTCTATAATTAGAAACGTTATATTTAAGTTTCCCAATATCTAAGACATTAAGTTTAAAAGTCATGATAAAACAAAATTGTTAGCTTCTCAAGTTGTACTATTTCCCGAGACTACTTACTTTTCGACAAAGCTAAGACCAGTTTGCCACTAAAACTAACAAACTCGTTTTAAAAATTCCTATTCAAAATTGTTATTCATTCGACAGAATGAGATTACAATGATCGATCATTGAGAAGCAATACAAGTCATGTTTGTCAACCCACTGGCTCTAACCATAATTCTATCAACTTAATTCCAGTGTGACTGTCAGTCAAGGTGATTTGAAATAGTGTACAAAATCTTGTTGATGTTAAATGGTTTTTCGATAAAACCTGATAAACCCTAAAAAAACATTTAACCGGTTATCTTTTAACAATCAGTTTGTCTAATATCTCATTTTCATAAGAGTTTATTGACGGTCCGTATAATCTAGTGTTGAAAAATTTTAGTTGTGATATTAAGTCATATGAAAAAAGTAGTCCCCTCGAGATCGCAAATACTTCTTTCAGAAGAATGTCGATAAGCATGAAAGTAGTGTTACCTCATTAATGCCTCCAACCAACTGACACTAAAGAAAAAAAAATTATTTCGAGTAATCAACCATCTTTTATCACCTTAACATAGTACAAGTCCAACCAAACTCACCTAACCCAAGGACATGTTTACAACTACGCAAAATACAACAACAGTATAGAATAAGTTAGTAATTTTATGAATTAAGAAGGTGAAAGATAAGTTGACAATTAAAGTTTTTTCAGTGATTGAGATCATGAGTCGATTGAAGCTAGATCGCCATGGAAAGCTTGCAAGCACTGAAAGGCCGTTTCATCATATTGTGGGATTCCTCAACATGATTCCGCCTCGCGAGATTCCAACCCAGGACGTATCAGTCTCGCGCGCGAGCGCTTAACCACTAAACCACTGAGCTAGCGTCCAACGGTGTTAATATCTAACTTCAACTAATCCACGAAATCGATCGACACATCCAACACTATCATCAGTGAGTTACTATCTCACAACAGACCTGCTCTAGCTTCAACTGACTCATGATCTCAACCATTAAAATCACTATAATTTCCACAAAATCCCTTCTGAAATAAAAGTTTTCTTTATCAATTCAACATCACTTACATAAAATAAACATGACAAATCATTTATTCTATGTATTCTTGAAAGTTTATTATCATTAACTAATCAAATTACATTTTATATTAGTTCAATCATCTTGATAAAAATCATTTACGATAATAACAATATCTAAACAAATAATAATAACATTACGTTCCACTTGAAACAGTTCAATTTTTCAGTTATTATTTAGTTAAGTTACAAGTGTATTTGATATTTTCTCTCTACTTCATGTTTATTCTCTAGTAATAATAATAATGATAATAATAATAATATAAAACAGATATTATTTCTTCCTCTTCATAGAAATAATTAGTTTACATGTAATTGAATCTTTTATATTGGTATATTGAATGAGCTTTAACAAGTTATTAAGGCTTATAGCCTACGTTATATATATATATATATATATATATATATATATATATTCTCTGTAATATAATTTACCAGATATAACATGGAATAAAACAAAACTAATTTATAATTTATTTACAGGTCAACTTATTATATTAAACCAAAACTTTATGTTTATTGAATCTATAATCGACTACTTTTTTATATTAAAGAAAATATGATTTAGAATACATAAGTGAAGAAGTGGATGAACAAACGAGAGATAAGATGAGAGGATATAAATCTCTGTTTATAATCACTTATATTGTTAAAAGATAATTATTGCTTTAGGGGTTTATCAACAAATAATGACAAGTTTTCAATAATATTTCATCAGTCATTCAGCTTTAAGGCATAGAAATTGATAAAATGTTAACATTATCAATTGGAATATATATATATATACTGTGTGAAATAGATTTTTAATACTTGCTCTACTTTCAGTTTTAACTAATAAGTCAATAGGATAACGTAAATAGCTATGATTTTCAGTATTGTTTAATTGGAATATCATACTTACTGAATACATTTCTTTGACTTTGTCTTTAATGTATAGAGTAATGAAGAGATTTCAATTAGGTTTCCTAATGATGGAAGGGATACGTTGATCTGTTAATTATTTCACCAATATTTACTATTATTATTGATCTTTTAGTAACCTTTAGACGGATTTATAGAAAAATCACTAAAAAGTGGATCATTCATTTATCACCGATCGCTTGAGTTTTGTTTAGAAAATACCTTATTTGGAAACAGATAATTATTAGAGATATACTAATTGATAAATGACAAATAACCACCGTCTTGTTTACCACATGTCTAGATTTCACAGCATGCATCAGTTATCTCAATATTTCAGATATACCATATGAAATTCAAACTAGAAAAGAATATCCATTCATGGTTTTCTAACAAATACCTAATTTCCATAGGGTTGGTAGTATGTGGATCTGCTCCTTTTAGCGAAGTAACTAAACAGATATACTGAAAGAGAAACACCTTGTTTCAGATTCATTATTTATTACTCATTCATATTATTGAAACTTCCTATTATGTGAACTGGATTTCATTTTTTTTGGTGAGTTTCGCCGAGATTTTTCAGTGAATTTTCTGCATCAAAATGCGAAAATAAAAGGGGAACCCAATAAACGGATCATCGTATCATACATACAGGACATGTGAGAAATTACAACAAGCTTATCGGAGCTGTTCGGAATAAGTGTAGAGCATAAGGTAACAAAATCACTTCAACCAACGATACATAAACCAAAGGATGAAGTGCTGACAGAAGAATCTCCAGACATCTACGAAATAAAACGTTTCAGCTGTAAGAAACACTACATCGGTCAAGGTAGTGGCCCTCTACTTTGTATCCCTCGACACCGACTAGCTATCGAAATTCCGTGATATATCTTCTCTTATATCAATACACATGAACAGTTGAGGAGACATTCGATTGGGAAAATGCTGAGATTTTCTATAGAAAAAGTTAGAAGCTTGGCACTCAGGCCAATCAACAGTCACTTAATACATTGAGATTGACCTAATTTTTCAACCAATTAAGGAAATTATGAACAGATATAAGATCAAGAATCAGGTCAAAGGGAGAAATAATCAAAATGAATATTCAGACAAGGACAGGTTAAGCGTCGACAATAGCCAATCAAGATTAGCATCAACAGGACAAGCTTTCAATCGTATGTGGAGAAATCTAAATACTTCGGTTCTATTTGAAGTTTGTGCCGATTTTTTTTATTCAGAACAAAGGATGCTTCGCAAATAATCCACTCAGTTCACAGGATATGACAACACTTATTTTCAAAGTCATTTTGAAAGATGAAATCTTACATTATAGTTATTATTAATATCAACTGATTCGTTTAATTTACAGTGATTAACACATATGTAGCTAAAACAACTAGACTAATATTTCTGTTTGAATTTTTTAGCTATTTTTCAATGGTATCTACAATTTTAATTTTTACTTTCTCCTTATTTATGTGTTGGCAGTTTGTATTTTCACTTAATTAGTCCTGTTGACAAAGTATACACATAGTGTTCTGATTAACTCATTGTATATATTCAAACTGTGTAAAGAGTCATTATCATATTAAATAATATAATATCCGTTCCCTGATTAAACATGGTAAATGCTAAAACACAACTTTACCACACCTAACTTCATGTAAATATTTTAATTATATTTTTAAGGAAACAACTGAAATACTCGATATTTTAGATCATTATATATTAGGGATGATCACTAATTGATCGAACATAATAATGAGTAGGATAGAAAAATAGGTTAGAACTGCTTCTTGAGAACTGAAAGCCCAGGAACATGTTTTAATCCATATGAATTATATTGTTTATACTGTTTGAAGAATTCAAAGACTAAACGCTTTAAGTAGATTATTATTTTTAATAATAGTAGGTATCACAGTTTTTTTTAACTAGATGTACTGAGATAATATTATTTGTAGTCGTAGATAAACACTTATTTAGGCACTCTATAAGGTATTGATGAATGTAAAGCATTGAAAGATGAAGAACTTTCAATAAAAATTATTCCAAATGAATGGTTAAATTGATAAGTACGAAAATAAGTATCTGATCTAGATAGATGTTCTATATATTTTTGTGTCAGAGACACTAGTGACTGGATAGGAATCATTAGTTATTTGCTTTTGTTGAACATTTTTTCAAACGTGTTGGATAATATTTAAAATTAATACCTTAATAGATGCGATCTTCAAGATCGTATGCTAGTAAACTGTAACTTACCATTTACCGCTCAAATATTTTTTTGGTTTCTATGGCTTTGTAACTGTTTATAAACGTCCCAGAGTATTCGTCTTCCTTGAGAGTATCTAATAACAATGTTCAGTTCCTTTCTAATCACATTCACAGGATATATAGTCATTAGTAATATATTCCTCAGTACACTTATTCTACTAGACAAATACAAAGGAAAGTATATCTTCTAATCTAAAAACCTCTAGTTCAAATTCTACCATTTCAGTTAATTTTTGTAGTTTTTTAATAACCATTTATCGAAATGGAAACCAATAGATTTTGTTTCACCAATATTTCTGCATTGAATTTCTTATGTTCATGTTTATTCTATGAATAATCAAAACTGCCAAGATTATTTCACTGGGCTGTCTGTCTAGCTCATGAATATCACAAGTATATAAGAAAAATTCAAAATCCAGTTTAACGCTATCTTCAACCAAGAAACTGTCTGCAATTTATCATCACATTATAAAACATTTATTGGACAAAATAAGTACATTACAGTGTCATTAAATAGTGACATTAATTTAATTGAAAGAATAAATACCATTTAAAGAATTCGTTAAATTCATGATTAGATACTTCGAATCTTTAGGCAAATATAACATATGAGAGGATCATTGACAAAATTCTGAAAAAATATGGTCAACTCAAAATCACAGTATATCAAATTGGAAATGGTAAAGTACGTTGATATTTGTTTATCCTGTCGTTTATCAATAAAAGATTTTAAAGTCTTTTCATAATGTACTTTGCAGGATAAATGGAGATTTCTTTTTTCTAAATGGATTTAGTAAATACGGAACTAGTGTCTAAAAGTATGTTCCGATTTTACTGCTGATTTTATACTATATCGAAATGAAACTGCATTTTTACATTACGTTATTATATTTAACGCAATATATCCGCGCTACTAACAAAATTTTAGTATTAAGATTTTTATGCCAAATATTTACGGACTCAATGTTTGATATATCGATAACTTTACATACACAATTCTTATTTCACTTTACATTCGGTGTTGCCTCATCCTTGACTTCTGGGTTAATTTTTTTAGTTGAAGACATCTGACATTTGTTAACTTTTTAGAGTATAATAACAATATATTTCTTAAATTTAAGTAATTTCATTAACCATTCTTCTTAATTGACTATTTCGTACCACAACCACTGCATACTAATCGTAAAAAAATATGAATTTTAGACTGGGTCACAACATAATTATTAATCCATTCCCGTAGAATATCCACACAAACAAGTTTTGGAAAAAAATAACACTGAATTTTTATTCCTATAGGTGTTTTAAAGACCTCACTTTTTAAACGGAAACTCTAAGAAAGAATTATACAACTTCTTCAAAATTCTTTTCTTGTTATCCCTTTCTATATACTTTACTGATTATTGAATATGAGCCGTCATTTTAAATGGTTCAGGGACAGTGACTATTTTTGGGTATCGTCTATATACCATGTCTATTTAAAATATTTTTAAAATGCTTTTTAGTTATTTTAGTAAAACTTCTGTTGACAATATATTTTAATCATACAATCAACGATTCTTTAATAATACATGTGCCGATTAACTACATATATGATGAATTAGTGAGATTTATTACTCGAATAGTTGTACTGAAAGTTGTCGAATACAAGAGAACTACAAACTCTATCAGAGATCAAATGTAATTTCTGACAAAAATGAATAATCATGTATGTCATTTCAGTTACATGTTTGTCGAATGAAGTATATATCAAGTCATATTTTATTCACTTGGAGTCTTTGATGTATGTTTAATAACACAGATATTTTCTACAATATATCTCTCAAAATATTTAATGGTAAAATGCCAAATATGAGTATGTTTATTCGTTATTATACAAAATGATCAAGTTTTCCAATGATTTTTTTTATTTCTTTCAATTGACTTTTTCGATTAGTACAGTAATCTACATAATTTAACCAGAAGTTGATCATTATTTTTGAGGGTAGTTAAGAAATTCGAAAAATTGTTAGAGAAGCTCTATGAGTTGAATACACAAAAACTGCTTGTTAAATTATGACCTTTTTTATTGTAGAGTTAGTATTTTTTTTTTGCAATCATATTCTACTCGACATACGTGTTTGAATTATTCACAGTAGGTAACGAGACGGGAGTTCCAAAAACGGAAATCTCTTTGTTTGCTTCAATCATGGTAATATATCTTTTTCCATTAAAAAAAAACTACCGAAGGCAAAATGCTGACTAATTAGGATGTTGTTTATTTTTATCGTTGATAACTCTAACCAACGTCTAGAGTTTGATTGCTACACCATTATGCCCTGTTTGACTCAGGAATATCAACGATTATAAGTTAAGGAAATCTATATCAACAAAATGAAGCAAAGTTAGGAATAATAACAATAACAATGGAAATTTAAGTACAAAAGCAAAGAAACAAATCAAAATGAATTGGATAAACATTATATTTTCGAAGCGAAAGGTACTGAGTTCAAGTCTCGCTGTGAACAACACTACCGGGATGTAGACACATCAAGTTGAGAAGTTTCAAAATGAACGGGACCTGCATTGTTTTTTACTCTTAGCTATAATCTAGATATACTATCAAAGCATTAGCTTTAACCAGGTACGTTGTTTAAAGTTAGATGTACGATTAGGTGTGAAAAAATCTTAGTATACATTTAATGAACTTATTGAATGTGATTGCTGCTAAGATTGTGAGTTTAAATGTTAATTCTTAGTTGTCCATGCAGTGGAAGTTAAATCAAAGGATACCAGATAAACATACTCCCTTAATACTTATTATACAAGACAAACAATATCTAACTAGTGCAGATCAACACATAACCCCTTTAAGAATATTTAATTTTATATGCCTGCATGATATTATAAACTCTTATTACGAAGTTGGTTTATGTTTAGTACCCATACAGCCAGAAGCTTTTAGCCTTTTCTATTAAAGGTATTACCGTTGTGGTGTGCTACTGATATGGACAGATATAAGAAGTATGTATCACTAATCGAAAGTCCAATGCCTGGCGCCAGAAAGTTGGTTAGAACAAAGAGAAGAAAATGGTTGCTGTGGAAACAAAGGAATAATGAAGTCTGAGACGATTGTTTGACATTTTGTAAACGAAGTATTTACTGTGTGGTTTACAGATTTGACTAAGACATACTGTAGTTTTGTGTTAAAATATATTTGGTTGTACACGCCTGTGTTCTCGTACACTACAGAATGTGTAAATATTTGAAGGGACGCTTACACATCTTGAACCCGATCAAGAAGCACGATTTAGATGCCATATATTAGGTTAGTGTGCGATTCCTCATACTTAAAATTACTTTGTTTGATTTTAACACTAAATAGCTTAAGATTTTGACTAAAACGAACTCAAGGGACAACCAGCACAGTTTGATTCATCATTTAAACTAACTGGAGTATGTGTTCCATCTAGCAGATATAGACAACAGTTTGTTCATAGGTGGGAGTTTATTATTGTTTTATTGAACCAAAATGTTATCAAGTTAATGTTTATAACGAAACCGTTCGTTTGTCTCATAATCTCCAACCCATTAAGTAAAGACATTTATTTCATTGTTATTAAGCACTCAAGACAATTAGCCACAGTGTATTTATACTCCCGGGATATGATTAGTCAATGATCTATTTAACCTGCTCCACTTCACGAAGTTTTTCACGACCAGGAACCTTTACGAATTTGGATATGCCGCATATCCAAGAGTCATCGGCACAGTTCGGATTCATTTTACAGCTTTTAAACGTAAAGTTGTCACAGACGGATTTATTTTCACTAAAATATTTGCTTTCTTAAAGAAAAATTAGGGATTTAATAAGACCTAACCCGAACCTAGCTTAGAGAACCGCCTTTTATCTTAACACCCTTTGGTAAGTGTAAGCGATCCTGGTGCATAAACTTTCATGTCATCACTGGGTTCTGTCTATTTGCACTACACAAGTAGGAATAACTCAAATAAAGTATCCTGAATGTAAACCAACCCCAAATGTATTCAAGGGATAATCGACAGTTACTCAATTTTATAACTTCAAAAGAAATAATATTATCAATCTGAGAAAACCTAAAATGTCGAGTGGGTTAAACATACAAAGCAAAGGATTATGAAAAACTCACCCTCATCTTAGACCAAACCGTGTGTGTTGCGTTTTTGCCTATGCCATTATCTCTATTACAATAAGCTAGGAAAATATACACAATAGAAAGCCAGATAACTGATTACTAGTACCCATACTATTTTAGACCCATAATTCATATGATTATACGAACAAAATATAATATCAAGACAAACCAGTGTTTCAGTATAGACATAACTAAGGCATATTCGATTCAAACCAGACTAATGGTTAATCGACTGTAATTATTGAATGATAAAATAGCAAGTGAGTGAATCAAAATTTGGTGTGTAGTTAGATTCGAATAAAGAATAAATCAAGTAACTGCTGGATCAATAACCAAGCAATTAGACAAAGAATAACTTCAAGTTTCGTATATCTTGTCTCGACTCAGCGGCACGCCTAGTAGCAATCAAGTAATGATGAATAACGAAATTCTTGTTGGCAGGATACTGATGGAAAATAATTGAACACTGTACATGCCACTTTATCAATTCACTTTGACAGATAACAAGCAGGTGATTGGATTATGTAGAAAACGATAGGAATAATGAAATTATGGAGATCAAATTATTTCCTTGATCTAGAGTTTTCAACTACCATTAAGGCAATTACTTCTATGATAGTTCTAACAACTTGACTCAGCTATCATACACTAAGTCATCATCTGAACAAAAGAAATTTTTTTAATTTGAAACAACCGTCGGACTAAAAATCAATGTATAACAAAAAAATTATGTTATGTTATAGGATGATTTAATTTACATAGATATGGTAAATCGCATATTTAATGTGAACAATAAATTTGGATTTTTATTCATTAAAATAGAGAGAACAAGATTTTTCATTTTGACAAGTGTTCACTATATTCCACAGGTCACTTTTTAAACGATTCTTGAGGTCAATGACATGCAAAAATAGGATGGAAATCATAACTATCTTTTGTATAGGAAATAAGATTCCGACTTAGTTCCAGTTATGTCATCCTTTAAAAAGGTAGCTAGGAATTTCTAGTTAGATTTCATAGAAAGTACATATTCTGGGCAACACACTACCAGACATTTTCCACCTTTGCCCAACTACATTGTATCTTACTTAATCACTCCGAGACAATATCTCATCTGGATCGAATGTACATCAGTTCAAGTATCCACATTACATCAACACAAAAAAAGGAATTACCATGATGAGAATCAGAGAGGTTGAAACGAAAACAATAATATTGCTGATAGTGAAAGGCAAAGTGAAGGCAAACAATTTAGTTGGATGGAACAAATTAACTCGATGACTCACATTTTGATTTGAATGTCGGTAATTTTCCCAACTTACTCCCATACCAACAATCGAAATATGTAGGGTTAAATGATCTTTATTACGTAAAAACAAAAACTTGGATATTTTTCCGAGAAAACACCTCTATGTTACGATTTCTGAGTGCGTAAAACCAAAACTACTAGAATGCTTTGTAATCACAGCAAATATTTTTTACACCTTTAGTTACTTGTTTGTAGAAGATTGACAATTCTATACACTCAGCTACCAGGTGACTTTATGTATGTAGGTAGTCATATATATAACAAACGATGCAAAGTACTCAAATTTTCAGTGTTATATTAAATATTTTTCTCCGAAAAGAAAATAATTCCTTTTGAGATACACAATCAGCACGCTGGATGTTTAGGATATAGACAAATTCAAGGGGAAATGAAGTGGCAGACACAAATTAAGTAGTCTTTAAGGTCACAGTTCGTTCATCCAACTTCAAACAGATTTCCATCTATAGAAAATAGTGTGCAGCTAAGCAGAGAAACGCCACAAGCAATGGACTTTCAGTATTCACGTAACAATACCGTTCATGGGTTTAATCTAAGATTATTGGTCTCGACCCATCGAATTTATTTGAGCTCGCAGGATCTTAGATGTCATATTTACAGCAGAAACAAACACAGGCATACGACGCATTATGAGCTAAATGTTATGCTGTGCATTAGTGTGAAACCTCTATAATTAGTATTGTCATAAGTTAAATATTTGCCTATTAGCTATTCAATTATGCAGTAAAACCCTAATTCGTTCTTTGACACTGAATTGGAGTATGATAAAAATCTTTTCATTTTTGGCATCCTAGATGAGTGGAAAACAATTTAGTTTAATTTCATAAAGTTTGTTTCATTTATTGTAAAACGTCACTGACGTAATGACATATCAATACACAGGTAGAGTCAAAGAATTACCTAATACCTTACTTCAATATACCGCTAAGAACTAATTATATCTGACTTACACTTTTTCGCGAGCAAAAACATGTCTACGTTAATGACACGAAAAAACGGTTCTTAAAGCTGTACTTTTGGAATATTAACATAGATTAGTCTAAGAGAGCTAACACTAGATAAAAATCTGAAAACAATGACAAGTGAGAACAGTATTTTATATCGAATTAATGAGATTCTGTATAAAAAATAACGTGCAATCAAATCACTGACAGATATCACAGATTTTAATGAAAACTGTACAATAAATTGAGACAAAAGCTCAAAGGACATCTGCTTAACCTGATAATTATTGTGCAAGGGATACACATTTCTGATAGTTATCATCAATTTTATTTCGTGAAATACTAGGGTCGGTTGCACTATGTGAATGTGAAGATAACAGGGATACTGGGTTAGATCCACGTTTTCGATTACGTTTGCGATGTCGAGGTTTTGAACGCTTAGATATTATATTCGTCGGTTTGAGATTGTCTTGTTTGCATGCTTTATTGTCAAGAGCTTTATTAACACTAGAGTGAAGTTCCGTAGATTCATCATCTCCTGCCAACTGGGATGCTACGTCAGCCTCGAAACCATTTGATATTAAATACTTCAAACGATCGAAATAGCGAGACCTTGCTTCTATTTCCCAAATACGATTAGACCTTTCCAACCTGCTTGCTGTAGCATATGTATAAAGATTGTATACAGCAGAGATAGGGTTCCCCTTAGGAAAATGCACATGTTTTGGACCATCTAGTTTTCTTTCATTGTAGTGAGAATCACAGGTATGTCGAGCGTCGTTTTCACTGTACAGATGTTTATGGTTTAAGTCATTTACACTGTATTTGAACGACCATTTCCTGTTGACTTCATAAAGTTGTTTGCTTATGAATTTTTTGGGTTTGGTGGAACATGCCTTTGTAGACAAATGATTGTGAGGACCTTCTGGATTTGGCTTTACTATATACAGCTCCGGAGTGTGGATCTGAACAGAAAAAGTCTGTTCCGGTTCATCACTTTCATCTGAGGAGCTTGAAAGCTGAACAGATCGAAAGAAATCAGATTGACCCTGAGGGATTATTGAACGAATAGTTAAATCGAAGTCTAACCCATCTTTCCGCTCCGGAATACTAAAGTTGCCACTACAGTATAGCAAATCGAACAGACGGCGTCCATGAGAAGGGCAGACCCAATACTGTCTTTTGATACAGAATTTGGTACTGACTACAGTTATATGATGATAACTAGTTTTTATATGTAAATGCAGAAATGATGCTAAGTTGGTCGCTTTCGTGTCTAGTTTGATGGGCATTTACGATTTAGATTGAAGCCACGTAAGACTGCTTGGATCGCTCTCGTAAGACTATGGAAGGGAACAGAAGGGATTGAACTTTTCCGAGGGCTTAGTGCCACAACTGAATTTGACCGGAGTTCGTTGGCAGCAAGTTGGTGATAAATGCGTCTGAACCAGCAGTCCCTACACTGAAGTAGGTCCCACAATATTTGAAGGTCAGTGGAGGGAAGAAGCGAATGTGAACCAAAATGAACTGTGGGTCCGACTGACCAGTGTTCTGCCATCTACAAACGAAAAGAATAAGCAAAATGGAACACTGAATAGGAACTAATTGGAAACCAATTAAAGGTATTTTAGGAATAAATATTCTCTTAAAAAACAAGTCACAAGTATTCTGAAACGTATATGTATTCATGAGTATGCAGTTTTTAAATTTCTGCTAGATATCCTGAGATCTTGAGGACACACTTTAGTACGACCGTGAATTTTATACATCAAAACATAGCGTGTGGGTGTTAGTTACTAAGACTAGTGTTATGTCTTGTTATTGGGGTTCAGTACTGACTACGGTGTTACGAATCTAGGAACAAAAATGATTGAGCCACTCTAAAACGATTGTTTTTTTTTCGGAACTGACAACAATCAATTATACCCAACGCATGAAACCTCGGTGGTAACATTAGAAGAGATTTTCGCCTTTCGAATGGATTTTGACTATTCTTGAGACAGTCTTAGCATCTAGTGACCACAGTGCAGCTTGATAGAATAGGTAATAAGGAAACGTGACACTAGTTATTACTCGGTGACCAATATTTACTCGACGATAAATTTCGAATAACCCTTCATAAATAAACGACAATGACTGGTTTAATTAGTCAAGATAAATTTGATTGCAAACAAACGTACTTCACTCTTCTCCTTTCTGATTCAGAAATGCGGCCATTGAATAAAAAACATGACTAACTGGAGTGTTCGACCACATTAGTCACTTAAAATAGTTGTTGCCCCGTTATGGTTCCCTGTATATACCGTTTGCAAAAATGGATTACCTATTGAGTTAATGAACACAAGTTTGAAATATCTGACATGTTTTTAACAGTGGAAATGATTGAACACTAAATTTGAAACCGTGACTTCAGAACGTAACACCTGAATCAAACAGTCCATTTTTTTCCTGAGCGATAATGGCGATCAAAACTCCAAAACCATCAGACAGCCATAACGTAGGGTATGGTATAAATGTGCACTAATTTATACTAATCATACCAGCATAGAGAAACGCAAGTAACAAAATGAAAAAGAATTCATATGGTGTCTGTGTTAGTGACGTATTTTGGTATTAGATGGTAAACTGGAGAAAATTTCGGTTGACTAGGAGTCATTTCTACTCCCTTGGTAATGCATCAGCTGTCAAGAAGAATATGGCGACTGTCATTCAACTCCCATCAAAGTTAGGCAAGTAGTGACAATATAAAGCAGGTTAAAAGATTAGGATGTGACAGTTTACTTTAAAATCCTTCAAGAGTGATTATCAGCAATTACTAGACTCAGTAAAGTTACTAAAGGGTTAGGAAAACAATGGATAGTTTTGGCAAAATATTTCCGATTATCGATCATTTCAAAGGTTTTTCTATATGGTCACCGCACCAAACCGTTTGTTTAGTAGTCTCTTATGATTCAAAGGAATTCAAAAAGCAATGTCTCAGATACGAGAGAGTTAGTTGACCAAGTCTTTACTTTCCGGCAGATTATAAAACATCGTTATCAACACTAAAGCGGTTATGTTTGTTAATTTGGTGTGGCTTGTGACCTCACTGTTTGAGAAGACTATCTGACATGAACTTGTTGTTAACTCAAAGTAACGAATAGAAGCTGACCTGGATGAGTTAAATCCAGGAATTATCTGGGTGTAGGTCTGGAATCTAACTGTTAGGCTAGAGAAGGTATAAATTCAAGTTTAAGAGACGAACGCAGCTGTGTCAAACTAGTTCCGATTACTGGCAGTCCCTAGTTTATAAGAAACGACAGAAATAATTTAGTGATAACTACGGTTACGAATTACCTTTAGCGACTCGCAAATGAAAAAAAACGTTTAGGGATTGTTGTATTAATGTATAAGGTGCGCTGATCAATGAATAATATGCAGTGATACAATTTTATCGAGTGATAACTGGTCATGAGACCGAATAATTAACACACCCTGAATGAGCTGATACCGAAACAAAGCTGTCCAATAGAACAGGGTTTTTATTCTAAGAAAATGACATGGTCATATGCAGAAAATTTTACTCAGAAACATACATGATTAGAAGTCATTTGACAAATAAGCGACTGAAGAATGTTACGACTATAAGTTAATCACTCGCCAAAGTAACTAATATCTAACTATTACGATTAATTCTTGACTCTTTATATCAACTGAAGATACAATAGTTTAAATGTCTAGAAAAACAAGTTCCATAACTATCAAACACGTAAATAGAGATTGAAAAAAGCTGAGGACTAGTTTGTCTTAGACACTGCTGTAAATATAAAATACTAGACTATCGACAGGTATCAGAGCACAACTAAACTAAAATCTTGTGAATGTTTCCAACTTGATCAATCACCCTCATTATTTATTTATTTGAACACATGAATATTGGTACAAGAGAGCGCCAATATATATGCGCCACACAAAACAATGAGAATTCGAAGAGAAGTAGAAAAAAAAACTAAGGAGCGCAAAAGAAAAAGAGAACAATGACGAAGAGATTGGAGTAAGGTAGTGTGGTAGTAACGACGGAACGAAAAGGTACAATCAGAAGAAATCTTTCAGGTAAAGGAGACACAACCACTTTTTATGAAGAAAGTAAAAGAAGGTTACAACAGGATCAGTTACAATAATCGTGTGATCCTGGACCGGGATATATGCACCTCTATACGCGCCTTAACATATCACATATTGCTTTGGATTTCTGTGAAACATGGCCGGTAAGAGTAGAGGATATCCATAGGTTACTAGTATTTGATCATAGGTGTCTTCGAAATATTGCTCGCATATCCTGGGACCATCGAGTAATTAATGCAGTTGTTAGGAAACAGGTATTAGGTGAGGATGGCAAATCAATTGATGACGTAGTGAAACTTCATCAGTTGAGATGGCTGGGACATGTGTTACGTATGCCCAACCACCGACTGCCTCGACGTGCGATGTTCAGTGGTATAGAAGTAGGTTGGAAGAAAGCTAGGGGCGGCCAGACCAAAACATGGCGAAAGTCCATGAAGTCACTAACAAGTGGACTGAGCCGTGTTGGCAGGTGTACACTACCTGGTTGGGGACCGCGAGATGATAGCAATCGATGGTTAGAGACCCTGAATGACATGGCTCAAAATCGTTTACAATCGCGCAGGTGTATCCACTCTTTGTGTCCTCTCAAATTCTAATCTTCTGAATTCTTCATGTCCCTTTCTCTTTTCTCTTTCTAAATTTATTTCACTGGATTATACTCCTTGAATAACATCTTCAAACCCTAATTTTTCTGATGACAGCTTATGATTTTACTACGTCTAGCACTACGGGATTTGAATCGACCACTGCATATCTGTGCAAATGTGGTGTGGCAACTCAAACTGATGTACGTACGTACGAAGTTCTACGTTGTTACTGACTGACTGACTTTGGATTTCTGTGATTTTCCCCAACTTATTTCTATCCCAATCACTATCATGCGTTGGGATAGATGGAAAATGAAATATAATTAACCAAAGTCCAGGCCTTCTTGGGCAATAAAAATGAACAGCCCTAGTAACTATTTTGTTACCAGTGCTTGGTACTCTGCTCAACTATGTTACAAATCATCATATTGAGCTAATACTTTAAAAACACCCAATATAATTAAACTCGATTACAAAGTACGAGTTTACTTACCACTAGTGATGTCACCTACATAACCAAACCGGAGTAGGTGAAGCAGTGTGGTTATGAGACGTAAGTTCTTAAACCCAACTACTTAGACATTAAGTCACTGTTACGAGCACGCATACTGTCGAATATTAGTAATCCATGAACGTCGTTTCAAAATCATTAAGTTACGTAAATCGGATAGCTAAATGATTTGCTCTTGGATTGGAGGTTGATGAACAAAGTGGTATTAACTATTCCGGTGAGCTAAGAGTTTTTATTAAACTAAAAAAAGCATACTTTACCAGCTGAATTGGTTTTTGTTTAGCATTGTGTACGTAAAGGTATCTCTTGGCAGTTTGATGGTATTCGACAGTATAGACAGATACGACGACCAAACATCTTTACAAACCAAACTGAGGGGCTTTAAGACTGAAAAGATGTGATAAATACCTGACCCGGAAAACATATAGGCTTGAAAGCTTCGATAGACAGACGAGATAACTTTCGGAAGTTTTACAAACACATGGAAACTAGGATAAACGCACACTAAGAAAAACCGTAGGCGAAGCACTATCAAGTGTATGTTCTTAGTATTCTGAATGATTAATCTATGCTTAAGACCAAACTATCTGGCTGTGAACTCGACACGCCCTCCTTGTATTGATATAACTAGACACAAAATCTCACGTTTCATTTCCCTTAAACCTTCACATAAGAGAATGTCCGTAGTGAGTCGAGAAACCAAGATTGGTTCAAATGAAAATTCGGGTTTAAAAAGAATGAAATCTTAGTCCAATTTAGATCATATAACATTTAAATTGTCATTGAGAGAACGAGATAGGACTTTAGTTCTTCCGCTATTGTACGCTAGGCTAGAATTGGTAGAAGCGAGCTATTCCCATACTAGCTTTACGTAAAATTCATGCGCGAAAGCTTTATTATAACAATGAAAATAAGACATAAGTAGAAGGTAACGTCTTCCTGTAGTACCTGTCCATGTACATACGGTGGAATACCAGATTAAAGAACTTACGAAAGAATTTTGAACGGTTTCCGATTGTTATGGGTGAGTTTCTTCGGCAATTTAGCACAATTAGATACGAAAAAATAACACATGAGGACATATGAACAACAAGCATCTGGAAGGGCTTTTTGAAAATAACACTTCCTGAAGCGGTACACTTAGTGTTTTCAAACTTCAACTTTGCTTGTTTGTGTTCAGATTCAGATTTGTGTAGTAAGGAGAGAAGGCCTACGGCCTATGTTATTCCTTTTCTAGTATGCTTCTGTGAGTGTCCAGTCTTCTCTTGAAAGAGTCAATTGAAGGTGCGGACACCACTGCTTCAGGCAGCAGGTTCCAAGTATTGATGACTCGGTGTGAAAACCTGTATGCCACGGGTATTTTGTTCGTTCTTGGCTTTTCTACTCGCCTGCTATGTCCTCTGAGGTGTCCCGATCTAGTGGGAAGAAAGAGAAAGCATAAGTTAGGTCCGAAATTATTTCTCAGTATTCTGTACATCAATATTAGATCTCCCCTTAGTCTGCGATAGGACAGAGTAAAGAGGTTCAGTTTTTCAAGCGGCTCTTTATATGATAAACCCCGGAGTTCCGGAATTGCACGCGTAGCTGCCCTCTGAACTTTTTCTATTATGTCTGAGTCAGTTCATGAACTGTTTGTTCATTGGGATCTACGTTTGAGTAGGGCAAACAGTGAAAACAGTTTTGAGCAATTCTGCAGTCAGTTTATCAACTTTTATCGAAAGAAACTCCAAAAACGTTTTACCTAATTGAATGCAGATTGTAAATGCGAAGAGACATCTAATGGAAAGTTTGAAGATGGAATCTCTCAGAAAGAACATGGTGGACCCGATATCACTATTGTTCATCATTAGAATTCTGAGTTTATTGATATTAATAGGGAAGGAAATTTTCAATAAATTAGTTTTATGTCCTACATTCAAGAAGATTTAAGATGTCACCTAGCTACCCATTTATCTCCAGCTCTTGGGATGGCCAGCGAAGAGGAATTTGAAACTATAAATGATTCCGAATTCATATTCGGCATATCAAGTGAAACATGGTCTATTTCGTCAGAAGCACGACCGGGGACATTTTCACTAGTCAAGGCTTGTAATTATTCCACAGTTTTCCAGAACATAACATATAGTGTTATCAAATACAAAACCACGTTATCAAGCAAGAAGTATACCTCCAAGTCCACATTAACCATCTACAAAACAGAGAATTATCTACAAAAACGTATATATAGTTTGTGAGGCTCATATAAATTCACTACGAACGCCACAGAAACGAAAACTACAACAACAAATCAACAGCACCCATCTTATCTGCAGTCAAAACAATCAACGGAGTGAACGACCAAACAGACCAAAATTAGGTAGAGCAACATATCGCATAGAAAACGCATGTAGTGGAGGGATTTTCATACACCACACAAAACTTCCAAGAAGGATCTTATAGTTACATCACATTTATGTGTCTAAATCAACAACTTAACTTACGTATTCTTTCAAATGAGTAATCGAGTTTATGCTTCAAAATAACATCTGATATGAAGACAAATCCTTGTTTATTGTATTTATACCTTTTCTTGTAAATGTGCTTCCACCTTCCTACTCGTCTAAGAATGTCTTTGCAACTCTCAAACGCCCCCATACTTTCTTTATCTGCCTTGAAATAGCGTTGAGTAAGAAGGAGAAGACAAAGTTCGTGGAGACGTATCCAAAACCTCGCTAAATTCAGAAGCGTAAACGTAACAAGCCTGAAGGTAAATGTTAAACAGACAAGCCAGCGAACCGTTTGAAGGGATGCTAGTCAATCATTTGAATGGACATCAGGTAGGAGATATACTGCAAACCTGAGTGTGAATAAGTGTCTTTACATCAAAGACGATCCTTTTTTATGAGGCAAACACTGACTTCTGAATCAGGATTGGTGGAACTTCATGATTTTACAGTGGTTCCAGTGAAGCTGATAAAAGGACCACCATCAACGGCTTTAGCTACCAGTTGCGACTGACTATTAATTAGTTTCGGGATTTTTGGGTTTTGCTAATTTCTGTTTAGTTTGTTTGCAGTGTTACCACAGTTGCATTTTATCGGGACATTCCCACACGTAAACGTCGATCATCCGTACTTTTTTTGTTACTGCCAAGTAGTCAGATTCCTACCTGTAACTTTTTGAGCTGTTTAAATAAGACTTGAAGCTCACTCACATCAAAAAGCACTTGAAAAGTTTTATTGTCTGTATGATGAACAATTGGTCACTGATAGCTCTGCTTTTCTTTGGGCAAATATTAGTTTATTCGCTTTGTTGTTCTCAAAAGCCTTCAGTACAGCGTGTGATAGTTTAATTAGAGACACTTCTTGTCGAAAATACTGAGTAAGTCGATTTAGTGACTTAGAAAGTTATCTCTAGGTTGGTTGTGGTGATCTCATACATTGACGGCATGAAATGTTTGATATGCTTGCATATATCTCATGAAAGTGCTTTCGCAACTGCCGATACTTATAAACAAGCGCCTGTGTTACCATTTCAGAGAAAATGAGCGTTTTTTGCAAGTAAATCATTACTCCACCTTGCTAAATACATAATTTAGGACTACTTATAGTGTTCGTTGAATCATGATCGAAGGAAATATATAGTTGGCGGACGAACAATTTAGGAGACCATATTTGGATAAGAACCGCTTATCATCCTCAGGTCACGTCATTATTATGTTGCTGATTTCTAAGATCATTTTGACGGCACTTAATAACACTGTAGATAGGTGTCATGATTTATTGTGTACGGCTGATCGCAATTATCGATTATACATGTATGGGAATAAGTTGATAAGAGCACATCATCCTAGTTTATATCTCCAGAATATAAAAACTAAGAAAGCTTACTTCTACGAAAGAGAACAGTGATTTTCTGCATTAGTTCGAGGTCTTGATGTGACAAGTATTTTCCTTGTATGGTACCAGTCAGGTTTAATTTTGAATACTTCATCCTTAGGTCGTACTGCTTTTTGGATACATACGGACCGTTTTCTCCTGACAGTAGGGGAACAAGAATTTTATCCTACATACCCGATAAGATTTTAATACCTCACGTGATGTGACCAAGGACATCTGTGGGTCCATATCAGTTCTTGTGAGGTGAACCGTAGTTTGTGCACCAAATGTAACCAATACCCTCAAACTCTGATTCAACTTGCGGGGTACTACAAGATGCTAATACAGAACCCTTTCGACAGAAATTGTTGGTAAAATTGAAAACAGGTAACAAATCTGCTTAAAGCTAGTGAGGTATGATGAAGCAAAATGCTTACCGGACTCATCAACACATGCATTTTTTTATCGATAACCCTGTTATGTAGACACCATGGATTTAAAACATTCAAATAAAAATGTCGGATCTGAGGTAATCCCGTGTCTAATGGATTTAGGCTAAAAGGATTCAAGCTAACCTACTAAATGTGTTTACCTACCACACAGAAAGTAACCACACTTAAAATTTTCGGGTCTTTTCTACCGAACATAACATTCGTTACTATAGGAAGTTGTTTCGAAGATCTAGAGCGTCCTCGTGGAAGCTGTGTCCAGTTATTTAGGTCAATTAGGACACCTCATAATCTATCTCGAGATTCTTCACAAGTCATGAGGCCAATGTCCTATCTGACAGCCAAAGAAACTATCACTATGACCATATAGACGGTCCGGACAGTGTAGGGGAGTTGGAAGACCATTCGGCTAACTGAGCATATGCAAAGATACGACCTTACTGTGCTTGAAATAGATAAAACCCAGGCGACAAAAAGTGAATATCAGAGAATGCCTTCGGGAAATATCCTGTTGTTCTTTGGTCACGAAGGCTGCAAGAGAAGGAAATATGAAGTAACTACGTCAGACAACTAAGAAGCTATCAAGAAACTAGTGTTAACCAGAGTGGTCAGCCATGAACGAGGAAAGTAAATCGGTAATCGTAGGTCAAGAATGGGGTAACGGGTAGGTTGATTACTCTGAAAACATTTTGAGTTGACCATCTCTACTTAAACTATATGATACAGAAACATCACACACAAACCCTTCTATAAATGCTGAAGAAAAGGAACTGTAGAAGTTAAGTAAACTACAGAGGGGTCAAGCTGTTTTCAGAGTCACAGTCAGAAATAATCAAGTTCAATACATTTTGCTTACTTCCGTTTGTTACTCGTGGTGGAACATAGACCACCGACCAGGATTTTTCAACCACTTCCGTCCTGTGCTCTCCCTTCCAGAAAATAACTGAGAAATCTTCCTGAACACACAGCTTGAATCTCTGTACTGTACAGATTACTTCACCTTTCTATCCCACACATAGCAACAAAGAAAGATAAAAGCTTCCAAAGGCTTCCATAGCAATGGGCCTTAACATTCACAACAGACAAGACACGACCCTGAAACACAACACAGTAAAGACCAACGAGCTCATATCGAATGGAGTGATTCTGGAAGAAGTGGAAGCCATGGGGTATCTGGGCACCACAAATAAAAAACAGGCAGTAGGGTCCGACAGATTTGAAAACACGGATCGACGAAGCAAGGGCAATATTCTCGTAGACTAATAATAACCGGGCTTCAAAAGAACCGTCAGCCAAAAAACCAAAATCACAGTTCTCTCTTTATGAAAGTGTGTAATATGAGACTTGGATTTAATCAGTATTAAACCATACCACAAACGTAAGAAAGCTTACATTAAAAAAGGAGTGAGCGTGACGTTTCTGACCAGTAAATATGATGGTGAGGAGGTAATTTTAATTCACCCATGTCTGTAGTTTAGGACATTTTGATTGCTTACTGCTCCTTGTAATTCAGTGGAACGTAACTAATCAATGATATTGATGCTAATTTCTTATTCCAAATACCTTTTTGATTCACGTTTGTAACCTCGATATCGCTTCGCTTTCTACCGAGAGGTCCTATCATAAGCTAAACTGAATCGCTACGCTAAAAGGGAGTCCAATAATGACTTTGTTTCCTTTACTGTACATTTTAGATCTACATAGTCTCAAACCTTCATCACTTTTTAATATCTCCTATATATCTAATGTTTTATCCATTCATTGCTACACTTTTGGTTTGTCTTTTTTAAG